CTCGAAGCCCTACGGGTACGAACAATTGAGGCATCAGGGTGAATTTTTGACGTACTACAACATGCCCTGCTAGTTTTTGAACCGCGCTAAAGTGAAATTGTCTACAACCAAATTTGGCCGTCGTTGACAAACTTCAACTATCAAACGGCCATGTGCACTGTTGATAGCGGTTTCCATCGCTCGAACGAAACCACCTCCCAGCATACCTTGTAATTAAAATCTTGGATTGTCACAGTTAGTGGTAGAATTCGAACGTATTAAATGGCACCCTAGTGGCTTGAACTTTGACCAGTCCGGGACATTTTCGTATTTCTGTCATTGTGCGCATGATCATTTCTGGGCGCTAGTTACCTGGACGTGCCATTGTTGTGCTTCGTTGAGAAGCTCCAGCCCCCGTTTAATCGCCATGCCACAGTTCGTCGAACTGTGCAGCTGGTGCCTTGTTTGTTACTATAATATTCTTTTTTCCGTATCTTCGAAGCTTCGTTTTTTTCATGCACCACACTCGTGCTACTATGATCCCCGTGTAAACGTTGTATCGTTTTAGCTCTCAAATGGCAATCAGTTGACCGTTTCTTGCCGTGCTTTGTAAGTCATGCGCAAGGGAACTGTACATACGTGTTACGCTAACAGTCCTACATCCAGTTCAATTTACCACCCGATGGACATTCGGTGATTATCTTTTTATTCAAATACTAGATGGTCTTGTGCTTGCTCCCTTTTTATATTGCACATCCGTGATTTCTTTCTACATTTAGCATTTTGGTCATCTCAAGACCAGGCCGAGTCCGAAAAGTAATTATCTATCCAGACTTGTTTTTCTAGGTCAAAACAGGGTTACCGGGATTTAGTGTGGGTTTAAGTTTGTTTATCTCTTGTTCTATTTATCTGTTTCGTCTCTCTTTTCTTGATTGAAAGTGCACAACTATACCTGAACTAGTTTGTTTATTCTTTCCAGTTAGCCGATAGCTATTTATTTTATCCAAACTGTGATTCTGTTTGGCCATCTAATCGCTTTGTCTCAAGGTTTATCACTTCACATTTTGATCGGAAACGCCTTGTCCCGACCGAACACGGTCGCACTTTAGGTTTGAACCCGTACCATCATTATGTTAGTTGATGCTCGTACACCTGCCATCCTGTTGATCGATTCTTTGTTAGGGCACCAACCAACTACCATGATGGGCTCTTGAGTTCTGTCTGATCACCCTACCACTGCATCACGCGAGAAACGTCTCCACAACCAACCGTCTCATATAGCTCCTGTTGAGTAAGCCCCAGTCACTGACTTCATGTGGGGATGTTTTCTCATCAAAGTGAAAGGCAAAAAGCCAACACCAGGTGCTGCTACACTATCTCTTCATTGTTTTATGGAATCATGCCCGTTCTGAATCGGAACAACACTCACCATGATTAGATTGTCAGTACTTTCTCAATTTGAGTCAATTCATCCTTGAGATTATCAGTCGTTCCAAATGATCTTTCTTGATCCAAACGGATCTTTAAGATTCAAAGATTTATTATTTCAATGTCTGAAAGATTCCCATCACAGCATTTGGAACAAACACAGTTTGGCGAAACAGTTGTTTTTCAGTAATTCCTTCTCAAACCGTTTACAGATTACATAGGTAACATTAGAAAACAGATCACACACTTAGATACATCACCAGTCATGAGTAAGTGTTTGTCATAGTCAACTGGCATTTGTCATTTGATTGGGTTAACTAAGTTACGGCATCAGGGTGACCGGACGGCGGACAGTTTTTCATTTTACTTCCCTTTATTAAATATACAAACATACTATATTCAGGAAAGAGGAAGCGGTCAATCAAAGGACTGCCATTCACCACACAATGAGTAAAGTCAGGCGGTGGTGGTGGAATTCGAATACATCCGCAGGGTGATAATTTGGTGACATTACCACCGGGCCACTACCGCTCATGCTTTTCTCGTCCCATAGGTTCGTAGTTAAATACATACAATTCCTTGTGTAAAAGATCACATGATACAGGCTTCTTCCACTACCGCACGCAGCTTCACCTGTATTGGAATGTAAGGTGTGCTAATGCTTCATTGAGTCACAGTTTGAAAGATTCAATGCTTGGTGCGCAGACAAGGTGGGAGGGAGTTCCAGATCGAACACACTCTGACTGCAAATGACTGACGCCGGCATTCCAATCGGCATTTTGAGACCACTAGTTTGAACGTATGTCCTCTGAGATGAACGTTGGGTGATAATTTTAGCTGCGAGCCACATGGATGCTTGGATTTTGCATTATTTGGTAAACCATAATCATATCTCCTCTGATTCGCCTGTAGTGATTAGAATACAGCCCCAGCGTTCGACACCTTGGCGCAGTTGAGTAAGCAGCTTAAGTTTTCTTGAATGATGATGCTTTGGTCCTTATCACCTGAGGCGTGTAGCAGCTGTTTATTTCCGAGGAAATTACAGAGATAAGCTGCTTTCAGTCTTTCCTGGAGTGTTGTAAGTACTTATTGAGGTGCATCGAAATGGTACCAGCAGTAAATTTAGCAGTCTCGCAATTCTTTGTTTCCTGTTCAAACTTTTAATTATCTTATTCTGTCCTATCCCCTCCGTTTCGTCTGCAGCTTGTAGAACGTCCTCAGCCAAGCATACTAGCCGAACGATGGCGTCCACCTTGGTGGATTCGCGGTCTGAACACAAGCAACCCACGCCAAAGTCCTCTTATCTTACCTTCAGTCTCAGATCTACCCAGCGATAAACCCTCACCTGGCGAAGGTCTCTGTGTCGAGCTGTTACAACGGTCCGTTTTCGCTGCCACTTGTGCCTGTCCCCCCGGTCGGGCTGGTCTGGGTTGTATGCGATTTCCAGACCGTGTACACCAGCAAGCCAATCACTCCTCATCCGCTTTGTCCGGCGTTTATGATGACAGTGAGTTGGATTATGTGTGGTCCGGTCACTCCTCGGATGCCCTACTCTTGGCTCTATCCAACCTGGCTTTTCTTCCGGCTGTTGGATTGTCTCTGTTGCGACGTTTGTGGATTCCCGCACTGGCCTACTCATACACACTAGTGTTTTCTGCGGTAAGTCAACATTCCGTTCCTACCCTTCGTAATTTTTTTGTTTTCGTTCCACGTGTTTATGTCGTTTAGTGACACTAGAGAAGTTTTAATTCATACAATACACCACGGACTCCTGGATTTCGAAAACGTAATGTAAACTGTGAATGGAAACGTTAACCAACTCACGTTCAAGAAGATCACTAATATGAGATCTTGGCGTCGCATTTTTACCCTACTGCTTTTCGAACAGCGTGATTCAACAAATAGGTGGCGCATAGTAAAGCAGCAGTTTTTGATGAATATTGAATACGTTACTTTTTTCTATACATCATATTCTTCTATCAATTTGAAGAGTTGCGTTATCCCTCTACCCCAGGGTGATCTCACACAAAGTTTTTTTTCATGAGTGCTATCGTGCTGACTGCAATGATGTGCCTTTCAAGCAATGGGCTCATCTAACAATAGCGGTTGCGCTTCAGAACTTTCTCTCACACAGTCACGCGAAGCGTGCGGCGGTGGCAGAAAAACGATTGGATGTGAACCTGATAAAGCCCTGTCTCACTCAGTGATCCATAAATCAACTGACAATCAAACGAGTCCCTTGTTCAATGGCTCGTTACTGTACTAAAAAGATACCATCGACGTAGTAACAAGACGCTCTTAGTCATTTTGAGGTCAGCTTAAGCTGGTACTGTTAAGACATCTTGAATTAATACTGAATGAAGAATGAGCACGGCTACAGCGTGCATGGCTCGATTATCTAACTCAGTCTCGGTTGCAATTGACGGTCAATTGATATCAGTGCAATTAATTTCTGTGCATGATTATTCTCCCGTGATAAGCGACGAGCAGTGACGATGTGAGCTAAACATAAACCGCAATTCAAAATTTGACGGAACATGCGATTGGTTGTGGCGATACGACAGTGATTGGAGCAGAATGGTGAAGTAGAGTCGGACAGCAATGTAACTCTGTATGGAAAAAGGAAAGGCAACCACAAAGATTACGGAGCACAGAGAACGATGGGGCCTGACATTGGAATGATCGCCTGTCACTAGTTAGATCGTTACCAAGGCGTTCGGTTTTTTACGGTTTAACTGTTCTCAGACGAAAAGATAACTGAATAGTGACTTCAAGTTGTCCGTGCCAAAAATATCTAATGAACGCCTAATTCTTCATCGTTTTTTTAATCTACCCTGTCGCGTTTTCCGTGATATCAGAAAACTATTGGCATAATAAATGAAATCGATAAAACCCTTATGCATAATTTAAGGCGATGTCACCGTTACAAGGTAAATAGATAATTCTATATCTAATAGCAATGGGTTATCTTTACAAGGCGTAAGTATTTATTTCCACGAAAATCTACCCGTTCACTTGAATATGATATAATGTACACACGTCAGTTGGATTCAGACCGGTTGTTTTACATTCAAAGCTTTCTTAAAAATATCATTGCAGCTCCAAACCATGTTTCGGTTTGCTGATTCCCTTTTTTTTATAAATTCTTCCGTAGCCTACTTTGAGCATTTAATCATAGACGACATGTAGTCACCACAATAAAATTAGAGACAAAGATTTGCCACGAGCCCATTTTGAATAATTCACAAAGCAGATGTGATATACAGCTTCACTTGTGACCACCTTCGTTTAACCGAATATCTATCCCTCACTCCAGTTTTTCTGTTTCATTGACGCCACTACTGATCGAAGTGTTCTTCACTGAATTGGGCTATTTTCTAGTCTGTACATACGTATGCATTTAGACATTACTTGTGTGCTCAACATCTCGAGGAGTTTTAACGAAGGATAGTGTTTCGTTAAAAACAGTACGTTTGAATACCATA